TTTTGCGCAAATTCTGGAGAGCGAAGTATCAGTATGCTGCGAACGGCCCTCATCCACGTGCTCTTCACTTCATTGATGCTATGGGACTCATTCAGAAACTCACGGTGAGAATCTTACATTATTTGCCCACATTATTTGGCCACATTTATTTGAGCTATTTGATCAAAAAAATGTTGTGCGCAAATTTCACGCTGGCCAAGGATATGACAAAAATCGATGTGTACCAAAACGACTCGATCAAGTCACATTTCGAAAGAAGACTCAACTTTCAATCGAATAAGACCTGGTCACAAATTTTAAAAGTCATAAAAACATCGGAGGAGGCTGATGACATGCAATGAGAGCAATAATAAGCTGACAAAGTTTCTCACAAAGAGCTGGAAGGGACGGGAGACAAACATTTGGTGACAAAGCCATGTTCGTCACGTTCGTCACAGACTATGAACTAAACTTTGTATTTTACCATGTAAGGCCCATTGAGCTATTCGCATTTTTCAGAGGCAACCTCGACGCAAAGTATAGCTCAATGAAATGGCTTATCATGTGGAAGTGTAAAGCAGCCAAATAATCAAAACGCACGTGGATTCTAAATGTGGAGAGAAAAACAGGAGGGCCCCGAGAAAATTCCACACGATCACGTGGATAGACACATGCAAACTCCAATTTTACAGGGGCCAGGGTCGGGATCGCACCCACGACCTCCTGTAATACCAGGCGAGGCAGATAACATTTCGCAACCACAGCACCCCAAAATGTTCACGATTGCCAAGAGACTGAGGTCCAACCAAGAAGAGGCTGATACACTCCACCTCTGCATTCCGAACGTGATGCACAAAGCAGCACTGTCCTGTGTTGAAGATGACCCAGATGTCTTCATTGAATGCCTCGGCTAGAGCATGGATATCAAAAGTAATAGCTTCATTAGACGGGGCACTAAAATTCGTGTGACAAAATTGGTTGCAGAACTATGAGCTTCTCTGTGTCCTGCGTTGTTTGGACTTCATCCGCGGCTTGGGTGTGGCGCAGTGGTTAGCACGCTGCAACACGAACCCGGAAAATCCGAGTTCGATTCCCGTGCACGGCCAACACCACTGATATTATCTGAACCAGTCCTGAGCCTCCCCTAGATCGACACAGCCTCAATATGAGTACCTGGTGAGATGTGTAAACATCGCTACTAGGGAGATAAAGGCGGCCACAGCGTGGTGCTGGCGACTCGTCCTCTCGTGTTTCGTATCGGCCTTCGTAGGTGCGCACGAACAGCACTTGCCCCAAAAGTCTATACAAGTCGAAACGCGGACGACCGCCGATGACGTTCAGTCCATGAGCCAGAGCAGATTTCACTACCATCTTGGAGGGACTAAAAGCCACGATGGTTTTCAGCGAGCTTGATGTTTGAACTGTTTGGAATCACGTGACGGACATTCCAGATTCCCAGATGAACGCCCGATTTGACACATCTCATAAAAGTAAACACATTGTAATGCTTGTATGTCTGCATTTTATTGGAAAAAGTGCATTTTCGTTGTATTTCCTAAAATGTATCTAAATCTATGGTACAATTTGATATTCCGAGGACAATCCAATTACAAGCTATAGAGACCAATTTCTGAGATAAGTAAAATCAGGCATATACTATACATGTGAATCTGAAATATCCACCACATGATTCCACAATACGCACATGAGGCTTACTGAAAACCATCGTGACTTTTAGTCTTCTGAGGCGGCATTTCTTTGGTGGCCGTTGTGCCCCTGTTTTAGTCTTTGAGCCAATTCAAATGTCCCCAAAAACAGTGATTCAAGTTATGATGAATTGAAACCAGTGGGGTAAGTAGTTCACTCTTATTAGTCGTGTAATTATATCCGTACTGCTGAAGTTCTGATACCTTCGGTGGGCAGCAGATTCCACTCTGGCCCGTGGACTGTTTGCACGGCACGTCACGCAGCTCGGTTGGCCGTTTCTTGACGACTGCTCACCGTTGGGGTTGTGCAGGAGGTACGCGTAGACATCGCTGCCATTTCACGACATGTTCTTGGGGTGTCGTGAAGCGGCCCAGCCGGGACGCCGTGCGCACGAGGGGTAAGTTTAGGATTTAAAACGTGAAAGATATTTGGACTTTTGAGAAGAAGAAAAATCTTATTTTGGGATTTTCGAATGATTTGAACATTGTAATATTGATGCAATAATTACGTCGAGTAATCGCTTAACATGTCTACATGCGAACAAAAGTGAGAAAAACTGAACACACTCGTCAATAACACTTTGGCCATAAAAGGTACAATTATAATAGGTGACGTTTCGGACAGTGGCCCTTTTTCATGTAAACAAATGATGCCACGTGATGCCACTATTGGCAGGAAGAGCCAGAAAGTGATTTCATGTTATGTCGTTTGACATCTTAGTTTCCTATCGATGTGAATTGTTATTTCCCCCCCCCCCCCTCCGAAATGTTGTATCTCGGTAAAGAGTTTAGATTTTTGGGATTAATCCCAAACAATTAAAAGCACTCCCCTAAAAGCGGAGTTTGCATTTACCGACCGTTTAGTTTGCGAGGGGAAAAAAACACGCAGAACAAACCATGTGAGATTGATAGAAAAAAAGATTTATTTTACAGCTGGGAAAATGTCTACGAGAATATATAATTTGTGTATATATTCACCAGTGCTTCATATGTGTCTGCGTAATAGAGCCCAACGGTGGATTATATAAATTATTGGAACTTGCGTGTACATTCAAACATGCCATGACGTTGTATTATTCTTGCTTTGAAAAAGAAATAAAAAAAAATCGCAACTTGCGCAGCAGCAGCAGCCGTACGGTCAAAAACCAAAGGTGGCCCGACGCGACACTCGGTAAGTCGACAACCGCTACTCGCCCTCCGTCGTCACGACTTTACCCTGCTACGGACGTCCACAAGAAATATCGTCATGCACAAAGAGGTCGTGAAACTAAATGTTGTGTACGTGGAGGAGGGGTGGTAGTGTAGCCCAGCGCGTTCGTCCGCCTGTCACAGAGGTTCGCGTTTCGAATCTGGCGGCCGCCGCGATGATCACTGCGGTGCGCACCAACCAATGTTACCACAAGCCATCTGCGTCACTCACAGTGGACATTACAAAGATAACCCTGGCGTCATTCGCGGGAGTAGCCCACCGTGGTGCCGGAGTCAGGGTCCACATTTTGCCCAAGTTCGAAAATTACTCCGCAAAAGGACTCAATTTGGATTATACACAGCAGCAATCGTCGCCTCCCCCATCACGACTGGCAAGACTAATGCGCAGGGATAGCTGCCACTGGGGGCGCTCTCTAGCTAGAGCACAAAGCAGCAATCACCGCCCCCTACCGGCAGCAGACGAATGCCCTAGGTCACTCATCCTGGTCTCTTGAGTTATCCTCTGGTTAAACAAAACGAAACGACGGCAGGCACCGCCCTGCTCTGTTCCTCGCAGCACTCTGGGCTCGATGTTTGTTCAGGGACTAAAGGCCACTGAGCCACTGGGGCAAATTCAGAGCAGCTGTTGCCGGCGATCGTCATCGGCAACATCGATGGTGTGGTGCGATGAGAGTGGAGAATATGGTTTGTGTAGACCAGGGTTCGGCCACCAAAATAACAAGAGGAGCCATTTTTTGTCGAAATGGGTAAACTCCCCCCCCCCTCAATATTTCAACATCCGCAATGCCACGTGAATACGAGGTCCTTAATAAATGACGGTCACGAAGCAGTCCCGGAAGAGACGCATGGCGGCTCCCGAGCCGCAGGTTTGCCGACCTCTGTTGTAAACTGCAGAGACATTGGCCAGGACACGTGGTGTGATGGTGTGGAGAGATGGGCTTGGCGGTGTGGTAAGGGGTGACGGGTCGTGATGGGCGCGATGGACCTCTTGAGCCGTTTCACACTTGCCGTGGTTGGCTCGAGAGAAAACGGTCCCAAGGCCGGGTTCCACCAGGTAAGGCCCATTGAGCTGCGTAGCGGTTTTTCAAAAGCGAAGTGACTTGTCATCATGCAGAAATTTATAGCCAAATACTCTACGCACGTCAATTCTAAACGTGGAGGGGGAAAACGGAGGGCCCCGAGGAAAAAAAACCACACAACCATGGGGAGAGAGAGACACGTAAACTCCAAATATACAGAAGCAGGCGTCAATTGTCGCGATCGAACCCACGACCTGCACACCAGGCGAGGGAGTTAACATCCCGCCAAAGGCAGCGTCGAGGCAGCCGCCGCCTCTTTCCAGTGACGTCACAAGCAGCTCATTAGCATGCGGCGCGGCTCGGTTTCCCGTGTCAGAACCGAGCTGCGCCGAGCCGCGCCGCCCTCAACTCCACGGCGACAATTCCCAAAGAGATGCGCTGAACTCCAGAGCGGTGATAATTCATGTCAAGTATTTTAATTGTGCCGTAATGTGCGTATTTAACGTCGTTGGTTGTTGTTGCTCAAGAATAGACGAGCACTCTTTCATAAAAGTTGCAAAGTTCCTTAATAATGATGCATGCCAATTGCTGCACTGATAGTGCATAGCGGGTTATTGCTACTTACAGTGGAAACGAGCACAAGTCCATTCAGATGTTTTGCCGCCTTAACTGCAAGCCATGTTGCATTACGTGTAAAGTGTTCATATTGCCATAAACCATAACATCGTTTTTTGGGGGTTAGATCGCATAAATATAAATGTATTGTTAAACCCACCACCACCCGACACAGCCAACGAGTAAGGTTTGTCACGTAAACAGAACGTGACAATTCTTTACCAGTACAGCACACCGGTGTGTTGGAGAGCCAAGCCACAACATTTACAATCCGAGTACAATTGCCATAAATGTTGCACGATTGAATGAATTACAATTAATGCAGTTGTGCGATTATGGAATGTAATTGAAGCTGCAGTCGAGCGGCCGCCATCACCAGCCACGATCCGTAGCTTTTGCAGCACTTGTATCTGAGCAGTCATACCCCGCTTTACATCTCCCCCCCCCCCCCCCCCCCCCGTTTTCCGTCGTTTTGAAAACGTCGCCACTTTATATTATTCACACCGCTGCTGCTGCCTGATTTGCGTGGCCTCAAGCCCACACTCACTTCGCCGGCAGTATCATCCGTCCGTCCTTTCGCCTTATCTGTCGCCCCTCTCAGCCTTCACCTCCACCCACCACCACCCACCACCACCCCGACTATCCCGTCAATCGCTTCGATACTCGCCGTCGGTACCTTTCGGGAACGCATCCCCAACGGAAACCGGGGTATTACCGTATTTAGTATAAAGAGGCGGCACACGGGGGAGTTACTTAATTATTTAGTAGAGAAACTAGTAGGAGAAACTGAGAAACCCGTGCCCATTGGGAGATTGGCGTCACGTGACGGCTGCGGCGAGCGACGCGCTGCGGCTGGCCCCAGGTTCACATTGCGCGCACGACCTCTGACCCCTGCTGGATATTTGGAATCTGCGTCTCTCATCATCATCACGGTAGCGAGGCGATGTTAACTACTTCGCTTGGTATGCAAGAGCCCGTGGGTTCGATCCTGACCCCGACGCCTGCTGGATATTTGTGTTCTGTGCAATCGTGTGTTTGTTCGCCCCCCTCTGTTATATGACGTTCGCGATTGCGGGTTCAATAAAAAAGTTTTTTTTTAAAGGCGAAGTGGAAAACAAAACAGCTTCACTCCATTCTGTTGGCAGCCAAGTCGGTCTTGTTGTGTTGCCGGCTACCGTGTCACCCAGTGGATCATGGGGGGGCCTTAACAAATCGAGAGCCTCTCCTAGCACACCAACACACCTCACACACTCAAGATATGGACCGAGGAGAGGGGTCTCAACGCTTTCTCGTCGCTCGCGACGCGTTTGCGAGTTTCGAACGAAATCGGTGATCGCAACGATGCTACGTTAAAATTAGCTCATCACCGCAAGAGTACAATTTGAATAAGTTATAGGAATAAATATGTACATATTGTATTCGAATCAAGCCATAGCCCATATACATCATCGACATCTACCAAGTGTAAACATAGACTGCATGCCTTAAAGTCGCAAACTTGGGTTTGTGCGAGCCCCACGCAAGGGCCCTTCGGCTCCACCCCAAGTCACTAAGGGCCACCAGAACCCAGACCTCCTCCTCCGACCGCCACTCCAGCACAGAACCGCTCCGTCAGACGAGTGGACGCAAGGCTGCAGGTTTCATAAACTCGGCTCAAGGAGACCCCCCCCCGCCCCACCCCCAGGTCTCAAACCTCTTCAAATTTCGCTTGAGGCCACCGCCTTGAGAGACACACACTCGGCTTTGTTGAGAAGAGCCAAGGGTTTCACTTCAAGTCGATGCTTATGTGACTCTTAGATGACTCCCAGTGTACTCCCACTTACAGAGGACTGCGTGAGAGCTCACTCGAGGTTCATAAACTCTTTCGCATGGTAGATCTACTGTAAATATTTGTATTGATTTGGGGACTACTTTTGAAAGACCGATTCGTTGCAGGGAATTGGGCTATGGCATCAGCACAGAACGGTCTGCACTTGGTGCACGATGTCACATGGCCAAAAACACGAACTTGACAAGCACAGATATTTGATAACTCCCCTATGGGAAATTCAAGGATTTAACCGGTCCAGTCTGCGGTAATTTCCCGAGCGAGAATCCTGCGTTAATTCTAGATTTGAAGCTTTCGTGACTGCAAGGATTCATACTCTTAGGTTTTTTCGGTAAAGTCACGTGAATTTACCGAAAAAACCTAAGAGTATGAATCCTGCGTTACTCCACATGGCGCGTTTCCCCGTGGGTCTCCGGGAGCCGAGCGACGGAGCGACTCTGCCGAGCCCGCCATGTCCATGATCCCCTCCGACTCCGAAGCCCCCTCCCACCGCCATCACCGTGTGATCGTGATCGAGCTGCGGCGCGTGACCCACGAAGGGGCTCCTCTGGGGTCAAGACGTCATCATCACGGCCAACGTTGCTGGTGCCAAGGTCTGCGCTGACCGTCTCCCGCCATTTGGCTCTCGGCCCTACCCCTTTGGTCACCGGATTCGTGGAGATAATTCCAATTCCTCTGTCGGTCACCCCCCCCCCCCCCCATCCTTGAGCACTTTGGTAATCTGCATGAGCGCTTTGGAAATCTGTAACAAGATTAGCGAGGGCTGGTCACGGTAATCCTGTATTATTACATTTTCCAAGTGTGCCATCGGATTACTGTGTCTTAGCGTGCACTTATTGATTACTTCCTGTACACTGTTTGCATTTTAGTTCGTAAAAAAATTACTCCGAAAACAAAACGGGGAGATGATTGGGTCGGCAGCTTAAGGTTGTTATTGTGACTGGAATCATGTCGGCGTTTACAGATCACAGTCGAAAGCCCGCGGTAATCATAGGCACAGTGCCAGTTCAAATCAACCATGCAGACATTCATTTGAAAATGCAGCAATTATAAAAGCAATTGGGTACGATGATCAGGTTATGTCAATTTGACAGTGCCAAATATATGGGTTTCATTGCATTCTCAAATGGCCGGTGCAGACGGATTGCGTGTTTGTTAGACACCCTCTGTAGCGTGGCAGAGCACACAGTTCCACCAGGTGGAACTATCGGCAGATTAATCATTACAATGTCGTTCCCTCGGTTCCGGGAAGCATAAATGCTTCGCATTTTGCTATTCTATTGAATTCTGATCGGTCTTGTTTGAACATCTTGTTTGTTGAAAAACATTTCTGTCTTTAGATCAATTAGCCTGAATTTAACATCAAGCGATATAATATGCATACATCTTAAAATGATCGATGCACGCATGTGGAGGGTAGACGTCGATTTTGATTGCTACGAACAGAGTGCCTGAGGACCAGCACTGCAGCACCAGCTGCGACGGCTGCACCAGCTGCGATCGCTGTCCTGCTGCCTCGTCCCGCTCAAGCTGCAATAGCTCTCCGATGTGCTTTCTGCTCGTCGTTCGGTACGATGTCCAACGTTTCGCCGCATGTGCTGGGAGCTTCAGGAACTAAACCGAAGCTGCCAACACGCGGAGCGAAGTGCCTGGACACCGTGGCGGACAACTCGCGGAACAACCCAAAATCCACGCGCCGGAGAGAGCCGTGATCTCCATAACAGTGAAAACGATTCCTTCCATTGAACGTTGCAATTTAAAATTAAAGGCATTCTCATACATTTTGACCATTGTGGGATTTTCTGCTTTCATCAAACTTGGATTTGATTCGCGAAGACCGCACGTCCATAAGTGCGTTAGAAAGAGCAGTGGTGGCCGGCGCCGTGTCTGCAAAGCAGACTTATGGGGCAAGTGCTGTTAGCGAGCACCGATGAAGGCCAGTGCGGCACACGAGGGGTTGGGTGGGGCCACCTTTGTCTTCCCAGTGGCGATGTTTACACACCGCACCAGGTACTAATTTGAGGCCGAGTCGACCCAGGAGAGGCTCAGGACCGATTCAGACAATCGTCACTGGTGTTGGTCGTGAGCAGGAATTCGAACTCGGGTCACCAGGTTCGTAGCCACCGCTCCCCTACTAAGAACGTCCAGCCACAAGTGGTCACGCGGAATTGAGGTTTGGGGAGTGTCTGTGGGGTCCTCCGCTTTTGTAACAGAGTTACCCTTCACGTTAACCGCCACGATAGGGCCCTTTTCATCGGCACTCAACTTTGTCTTGGAAGAGAGAAGAGGGTGTTGGTGGAGGTGGGTGGCCCTCATTATACGAGGGGAGGAGGAGTAGGAGGGGAATGTAAAGCCAGAGCGATGATCGGAATGGCTGTACGTTTGCGGGCGTGCTCGTCGTAAACGTTTTGAGAAGCTGCCGGGGGTTATAGTGCACGAGGGGAGGGAGACGGGAGACCGATCGCAACACCGTGGGATGGAAACGGATGGGGATTACACAAACGACGGAAAACGAGACAAATGCAAAATCGTAGCCGGGTCCCGCGACGTTTGTCTCCCCCCCCCCCCCCCCCTTCTGTTAGTGGTCCCAGAGGTGCGGAGGTATTCGAACGGTGAACTTTGAGTAGTGATTGGTGGAAAAAAAATGGGGGAAAAAGTAAAACAGCTTCTGTGTAAGATTAGACTTAGTGGCAATTAAAATGCACATTTGTAGGCGGATCAGATTAGTGACCACGTTTTATGTGTAAAATTTGGCACGTTCGGGAAAGAAAGTGAAACGGAATGTAAGTTAAGATGGGCAACTCGTGAATTTGTAAACGAGACGCCGCATCGCCTGAAAATATTTTTGGAGCTTGTTTCGGCATCGTATCGAGCTTTGTGATCTGCCCAGTCCCATCCCTTGCTGGGCCTTCTCTGGAAGTACAGGAACATTTATGCGCTCCACAGTAAAACAAAATGCTTTAGAATATTAACCTGCTATTCTTTTATTGGCACAACTCTTTCAATAAATAGCTAAAATAAATTAAAATTTCAAAAATATAAACAAAATTCATTACAAATCAATGGCATATGTAATTAAGATGCAAACCAACTCAAATGTTACGAAAAACGTTGAGCCGTGAACGGAGAACCAAACGGTGACGCGCGGGGCACCCCGGGATTCGTGCACCTGCCCCAGGGCCCCGCTGGCTCGACGCCGGTGGGAACCGCGATGACGTCTCCTCCGCCGCTGTGCGACGGCTCAAGCCGGACGGCGTGAATCTGGCCCCCGGTCAGAGGGCGCGCAGCCAGCAAAGCAGACCGGCAATCACTTCAGTTATCGAGCGTGTACATATAATTATTATTATAATGATGATCATAATCAAATAGAATGCACCCATCGTTCTGTCCAGCGGGCGGGTGGGGGGTGCGGGGCGGTGGAGAAAAGGGGGCAGGTCACACGGGACTGTGATCGGGGGGGGCATCCGTGGCTGTGATGGCCTGCACCAGGCTCTCCTTGGACTGTCTCAGCGCCAGGTAGAGCCGCTCCTCAAGCAGAGGCGCCGCTTTGTCTCCCCCGACACCGTACACCGATATCATCTGCGGCCCGTAGCCGTGGCCCACGCCATCCTTGCCGTCGCCGCCGCCGCCGTCGCCGCCGCCGCCGTCGCCGCCGCCGTCGCCACCGGGGGGAGGGCTCCCGCAGTCTCCCGCGCTCACGTCGCCCGGCTCCGTGTCAGCGGGCTCCCCGGTGTCGCAACGGTCGCGGGCAGCGCACCCCCGGTCGGGCTCCTCTACGGGCGAGGAGCGCTTCGCTGCTTCGACGGCCGCCGAAACCGCAGCGGCCGCGGCAGCCGCGGCGGCCACGGCGTCGGTGGCCTCCTCGTCGCCGGCGCTGACGATGCGCGGCAGCGTGGCGTAGTAGCGGCCGTCCGACGGGTAGTTGACGCTGTTGCCGCGCCGCAGCGGCGCGCGGTGCCGCTCGAAGCTCGCCGAGAAGTTCATGCCGTGCCGCACGCCGGGGTCGCTGTACTGCTTGGAACGCTGCCACTGCTTGCGCAGGTGCGCACGCGAGCGGTGCTTGGCCTTGCCAAAGGGAGCCTCGTCGTACTGCGGGTCGTGGCGCAGGAACTCACGGAAGAGCGCGTCCGAGCGCTCGTCGATGCTGTAATCGCGGCGCCGCAGAAAGCCACGCGGGCCGCCCGCCGCCTGTGCCGCTCGCTCCAGGGGGCGGCTCGCAACGCCAGCGTCTCCCCCTCCTCCTCCTCCCCCCACCGCCGCCGCCGCCGCCGCCGCCGCCGCCGCCCCGGCCTCCGGCTCTTCCGCGTCCAGGCTCTCGAACACCGTGTCAGTGCGGCCCGAGCTGAAATGCCAGCGGCGTTCCGAGGCGGTGCGCTGCTGCTGCTTGCGCCCATTCTCCTCGTGGAGGCAGCGCAGCGGCGCCTCGATGGAGGCGTAGCCGCTGTCCATCTGCAGCAGCTTCCTGGCGCCGGCTTCGCCGTCCGTGCCACAGCTGCGCTCCGACTCGGTGCTCTCCTGCCGCGGCTCCTTCTTGCCGTTGCCGGCGGCGCTCGCGGGGCAGCCGGGGCCCTCGTCCTGGGAGAAGTCCTGGGAGAGATGGCCGGCGCCGGGCGCGCCGGCCGAGCCCACGCTCTCGCCGTCGCTGCGCACTGAGTCGCGGTCGTTGCTGCTGCTGCGCTCTGACGAGGCGTAGAGCTCGAAGGACGCGCGCAGGCTCCAGAGGTCGCGCGGCGCGGACGTCGCGTCGGAGCCCGCGGCCCCCACGTCACCATCTGATCTACAAGGGAAGCGGACAAGCCCGGCAGCCACCGTTGCCAAGCCGGCCGCTGTGCACGCATTACCGTCGAGCGTGCGTCTCGCGCCTGCGATCGCGCCGCGCGCGTCACGGTCAGTTCGCGCGCATCGGATGCGGTTCGCTCGTGCAAGTACCGCAGCCATGAGAGGCGGCGGGGGTTCGACGCAACGTCGAAAAGGAAACGACCCTTTAATCGAATGGCGACGCCGAATCACAACGGTCCATTGATCAACGAGGGGGCCCGATCGTCACGTGCCCCATCGTTTTGATGACGATGATGGCGGATATTCGACTGGCTGCCTTCAGCCAGTGAATAGCACTCAACCTTGGCAGGAGCCAGGGACTCGTACGGTTATGAAAAACAAACAAATATTTACATGATCGCAAAAAAACGCCACACCGATTTATGTTGAAGAAATAAAATCAACACGAAACTGCAGAGTTGCATCATGGGAGACAGCTGGTTTGAAGTGTACATTTACACCCCCGATTAGCACAATTGGCTACACAAGGTGCGAAAAAAGTTCAAACATGCATACATAGATAGACACAAATGCGCTCACGGGGCTGATGGGACACAAATGAGTTTTTATCACTTTTCATGACTGTTTAAATCTGGGCCACAGTAACACAACACCACGCCTAACACACACAACACGAGACATACAACACACGCAACACACACTTGCTTGCCAGAGAAGCGACTGTACACTCAATCTGCTCACACCACACACAGACCACTCTACCCTCACTCCCTCACTCATCCCACTCACTCCCCAGCCGGCGAGTGATGGCGTTACCTGCTCGCGCGCTCACACTCGGACGCCGCCTCCGGAGCTGGGTGGGGAGGCCCCGGTGAGGAGGAGGAGGGGGAGGCGGCGGCCACGACGGCGACGATCGTCACCGCGTTCTCGGCCGCGGTGGCCACGGTCGCAAATTTGTCATCGGCCACCCCTCCGGTGCCGTCGCCGGTGCTGCTGCCGGTGCCGCCGGCCGCCTCGGCCTGCGGCGCCGGCGGCTGCAGGAAGGCGAGGCGCTCGGCGTGCGCGATGTAGTGGATGATGTCGGTGTGGTGCGGGTCGTGCGCCGAGCGCTCCGTGCTCTCGCTCGCCGCGCGCTGCCGCTGGAACTGCCGCCGCCGCGGGGAGCCTGCGGAAGAGGTGCGGCGGCGCCGGCGTCGTTGTCGTGGCTCGGCTTTGGCGCCCACGCGCCCTACCCCCCCCACTCACCCACCCGCTCCCCCCCCCTCCCCCACGTTGCGTATCGGTGTGTTTTGTCATTGTGAACGTTCTCCGGAGCGCCTTGAGAGGAAGCCCAGCAGCCTCGACAACTCGTTTAATGAGCGGAGGGATTGATGGGACTAGCGACGTGCACACTAATTGTTTGGCCTGGCTCCCCCTGGCACGCCACTCGAGTTTTCCACCTGCCCAGGTTTTTCCCAGGATCAACCCTAAAAGGGCGACACGTTCGGACATAGCTCTCCCCCCTCTTCCGGCGTCGACGCGGGACACTCCTCCCCCCCCTCCATTTCTCCCCCGTGACGCGTCACGGTCGTTTGTGGCACAGAGGGGGTTGACAACCCCCCACCCCAACTCCCCACTTACCGCGCGTGTCGAGGCTCGAGGCGCGCCGGCTCTTGTCCAGGCGCCACTTGCGGATGTTGAAGCGGGGGCTGCCGGCCTCCACGCTGGCGTGGCGCCGCAGCCGCGCCAGAAAGTGGTGCACCAAGCTGCCGCACTTGCTCTCCGCACTCTGCTCGGCGTCCGCCGTCTCGTCCGCGCTCAGCGGGGAGGCCTTGGGAGTCGGGGGGGGGGGGGGCGGGAGATAAAATGTCACGACGGGGGTCACCGACCTTGGCGTGAAGTCCCGCACTCATTTGGGCTGCGACGAGTGTGGCGCTCGCTCATCGCTTCGTTGTTGTCTGGCGATTTCTCTGGTGGCAGCGGTGGTGCCTTACAGCCTCAGCGCGTCCTCGGGTCATGCCCCCCACATGTCGCGAAACGTCGGACATCGCGCCAGAGAACAATAAGTCTGCCGCCAACTTCCGATAATCCGTCCTCAATTTGTTTATCTCAGCAGCGGACCAAGTTCTACATTTCCATGTCTGCTTTTTACATCACACAAAGATGGTAATCGTTTTATCAACTCCCATGGAGGGATGACATGCAGAGTCAAATGTAAACTCGTAACCGTCTGAAGGTGAGCCCACGTACTCGCTTTTTCCCCTTCATGCTAACGTGATCGCGACATCGGTTTAATCGGCCGTTACCATCCCCTTTGATCGCCGACCGCGAGGCCATTAGCGCGTGGAAAGTCACAACCGTGAGCTTGGCAACGTGCGCAGCGCCGCAGTGCACGTTGGCGCCGCTGTTTGCTCGGCGCACACCGGGAGCAGCCACACGGAGGTCCAAACTCCAGGACCATTGCTCCCACCTCCATTACCCCTCCCCACCAGATCTCTCTTTCTATGCGTCTCCGAGCCGGCATGATGATGATGATCACTCACAGGCAATTACCTCTGTGCCATTTTATCAGCGATGCGTGGAAAAATTTCAAATAAAACGTGATTATGTTACTTTACATGAACCATTGCCGACAGTGAATTTCAAACGGAAATCGGGGCTCGCGAGAGAAGTTTCCCCCCTCTGGGTGCACCCGGCGCACACCGAAGCCGAGGCAACGGCACGACCACGCGTTCCCCTGCCTGGCACGGAGCACCGCTCCTGACTCCACCCGGAGACTCGTATGGTCCGAGCGGCCAGAGCCCTCGTGGCTTCAGTAGGGACAGCCCGAGCCCTCGTAAGCCGCCTGTAAGGTCGGCAGCAGTAATCGTCACTGTTTTGTTTGGTTCAGATATTTTTTGTTGTCGATCCTGCAGTAGCGCCTGTGTTCAGCTTCCTTCATAACGATGGTGGTGATGAGTAACGGGCAATTGGTACGCTTTTGGCCCATGTTTGTGTGTGCACGTGTGAAACATTGACAGTGAAATTGAGTCTGTAACTCGAGAAACTCGAGAAACCTAGATGTGCGTTGCAGTACTGCGAGAGCAGTGCCGCCCGCAGTAGCTGTTGTGTTGTTGCTCAAGGCACAATGACGACCCTGTGGCGTAATGTGCAAGATGGAGCAGTTGAGTTGCCGGAGCCGTAGATCAAACCCCAAACTTAAGAATTACCTACAATCACTCTGTAGGAGATCTAGCCCTTGCCACGGGAATGTGGAATTTCCACCACTGGTTCGGGATGGTCAGTAGAGATCAGCGCTGCTCCCATGACTGTAGATTTAAGCAATACAAATTATTCTGGTGCATAACCACAGGGCGACCCATTTATAGATACCCGATTAAAACTGAAATAGCATTGGAAAATTTTAGGGAAAATACAATTTTATTTAAAAGCCACTCCGCATCTTCCTCTGTACGGCACCGAGCCATCGCTCTCAAGGAACTCAGTCAGCTGGCGAGATGATCCACGCACAAGGTCGGCACCGCAGGCCACGACGTCCAGGGTCTCCCGGGCTAAACGACGAGGCACCAGGCATCCCTTGTAGTCGAGACAGTAAACCGCGACGCGCCGCTACCCGCCTCCAGGCACAGGGCAAGTTCAAGTTTATTTGTACAACCAGGAAGAGTGACAACTCAAGAGACCAGGATGGAGCCTCGCGTCGCCGAGCGATCCGATGGGTACTCACGTGCAGCGCATCGTGGTGGGGGGGCGCTACGGCAGCGGCCGCCCCGGTGTGAGCACAGCCGCCGACACCGCCGCCCTGGCTCGTGGTGGTGGTGGTGGTGGCGTCACCAGGCAGGTAGAACTCGGCCCCGCGGAACGGCAATGGCGAGGGCTGTGCCATGTGGCGACGGAGATGGGAGGGGGTGAGGGGTTAGGGTGTAAGGGATGATGCTCGCGTCACTGTGTTTTCATTGCGCGAGTGGTAATCTACACCCTGATCTCTCCCCCTCTCTCGGTAAAGTCACGTAGGTAGAAAAAAAGAAACAATCGAGAAGATGGGTACAAACTGAGCAATCATTGGAAGGATATTATTAACCAGTTTAGGTCATAACTGGCTATTATGTTCCCCTCCCTACCTACCCATGTCAGCAGTTATTTTCGACTCTCTGAATTACATTCACTAACACAACTACTGTGGCTCGTTTTCCTCGATGTGGCAGTAGCTATTGCCGAGCTCTCTCAGATTTTACATTTACAAGCAAATTTCTTACATTGACATGCTAATGTCTCACAATACAATGGCCACCCCACAGCTTCGTCATCGTGGGTATGGCTCAGCTCTCCGATCTTACATTTACATGCAAATTTCATCTTGAGCCCCGCCCATTTACCCTTGGGCTACACCCATCTCACCCTTTTATAACATCCTGCCTTATCAGCTCTCCCGCCATATATTTTCACCTGATGACAAGTGCTTGTGTTGCGATCGAAACGTCGTGAAATTGTATTTCTATTATTTTTGTCATCTTTATCTTTTATCTTTATCTACGTGGCTTTACCGAAAGACCGAATGAATATAGATACGTTCAAATTAATACAAAATAAAATAAACAAAAAACTACGACGTTTCGATCGCAACACAAGCGGTCGTCATCAGGCGGAGAGAAAAGGGGGGGGGAGGGCAAGCCTCTAAAATGGGCGTAGCCCAAGTGTCAGAACGGAGTGGGCGGGTCACAAGAGTCTAGGCCAGCAGTGGATAGAGCATCCTAGAGAGATGGAGTCTAGGCCATGATAGAGCAAAAGCTATAGAGATGGAGCCTAGGCCAGCAGTGGATAGCGCATGCAATAGGCATGGTGGACTAGAGGTAGTCTAGTTCAGCAGTGGATAGAGCAAGCTATAGAAGTAGCAGTAGTCTCGTAGTCCTCTCTGCCCCCTCCGACTCACCTGCAGGAGGGGGAGGTTGAGGTCACGCTGGGACGGCCGCGGTGTGAGCGGCACGGCGGCCGAGGGCCCCGGCAGCGCGGGGTCGGTGGCGCCGTCCCACTCGGGAATGGTGACTATCTTCATGGAGGGCGGCCGCACGAACGGCGTGAGGCGCGCATTCTTCAGGTGGTGGAAGTCGCCCTCGGTCAGCGTGAACCTGCGTGGAGGCAACGCCGCCAAGAAAACACAATTCCCGTGAAGCTTATTGTAGATAATCGTCGCAGACATATGGCAAAAAACGGCGAACCGCAAGATATGACAGTCGTGAACTTTTCTCAAATTAAACTCTTATAATCGCATCAAAAAAATGGCACCATGCCAGGGCATTTATCTAAAAACTAAAACTATTTAAGTTATTCTTTTATTTTACCAAGTAAGGTCCACTAAGCTAGAAAGCTGGCTACACATGATAGCCCAACTAAGTGGCTTATCACGTGGACATTTATAGCAGCCAAATTATCTAAATGCACGTCGATTCTAAATTTGGAGGGAAAAACCAGAGGACCCGGAGAAAAATTCACATGACCACGGGGACAGAGACATGCAAACTTCAAATATACAGGCGTCAGGGTCGGGATCGAACCCATGACCTCCTGTATACGTGTGTAAGCATGTATGTACATTAAACTTCGTTCGCACCGTACGTAACCAATCGTGCTTATCAGGCAAGGCAGTTAAAATCTCGCCACCGCGGTGCCTGTACGTAACCGGCGCCTCGCGACGCCCCAAGCACGTGCAGCCCCCTGCGGCCCCCACCGTCGGCCTTTCTCCTGCGCCTTCTTGTCGCTGTCGAAGAGCGCCGCCTCGTTGAAGGAGACGCGACGCGTGGGGGCGCCCGACGACAGGAAGCGCTCCGCCTCTGGGTCGGCCCCCCCGCTCCATGCGGAGCCGCCCCCCTCGCCACACCGGCCCCCCTCCACGTCGTCGCCGTCGTCGTCGTCATCGTCCACGCCGGTTATCTTGATCGCGATCTCTGCGAGGGAGGGCAACGGAGCGAGTGAACCACGGGGTAATGGAGCCTGAACAGACTGTTGGGGCAAGTGCTGTTAGCGAGCACCTATGAAGGCTGGCACGTCGCACGAGGGGGTGGGTGATCAGCACCATGCCCGGCCGTGTTTGTCTCCAGAGTTGGCAATTTTTACACACCGCACCAGGTACTCATTTGAGGCCGAGACGACCTAGGGGAGGCCCAGGACCGGTTCAGATAATCATTACTGATGTTTGTGGCCATGAGCGGGAATCGGACTTGGGTCGCTAGGTTCGTAGCACGTACGCACACACACGTACACACACACACACGTACGCACGCACGCACACACGCACACACACACACGTACGCACACACGCACACACGCACGCACACGCACACACACGTACGCGGGTCTCTGTTCTCGACTGTCCCCGAGAGGCGCGTCCCGCTGCATTGCTCGGCGTGTTGACACGTTGCGCCCAGCCGCGGCCTCCACACCACCGAGTTGCTGCTCGAACTTTACTCGGTTTGAAAAAGTGCGCACATGACAAGCTGCCTTATGAGAATGATGATAAAAAATAATTAATGATTATTATAAACCCGGATCGTATGGGATTGCAAAGTTCTTCTTTGTCAAGGCAGCGAGAGTTGCAGCGTGCGGAGACTCAGTGGCGGAATCTGTCGTGGAGCCCGGCTCAGCCGAGGCACAGGGGGGAGGGGGCACTCGGCTCCTTCCCCCCCTCCCCCCGTGGCCCCACCCCCTCCGCCCCAGCCCCCTCAGCCACCTCTTGCGAATAATTTGATAACATAATATAAATAATAAAAATTAGAGATTTGATTACCGAAGCTGGCGCAGGAGTCCGTGCGTTTGGACGTGTACAATCGGGGGGGGGGGGGGGGGTCCATTAGGCTCCAAGCGGATGCCAAATTGCACCAGGCAGCCCAGGGGCTGCACTGGGCACCTACTGGGCAACGATTGTCCGCCTCGCCAATCAAGAAACCCTCCGACGGGCTCGCAGAGGTCACAAAATCCGAGCGGATTGCCACGTCCGGAGGCGGCCGCACTACATTCTGGCGTGCCGAGCTGGCGCAGCGCCGGTTAGAGTCGCGCACTGCCAGCGCTCCGATTAAACCGCGCTCTGGGATCTGGGAGGGTAGCGGTGTCGATTGCATCTCAGCCCGGTCGCGACGGACTGCATGGAGAAACCCGTACGCTGCTTTTGGGTTTTCGATCGAACTCACCCCGGCCCAGGAATAACGATGCATCGATTCAATCGGGTCAAATCGATTGTTACGCTCATTAAAACACGCATCGCGTTGCGGCGCCAAGGTCGCAAGCACGCAACCCTGCAACCTTCCGATTTGTGGCTGAACTCATCATACCTTCCAGTCCGGTTGAGAAAATTGATACCGCTTCTGTTGGAGGTCAAGAAGGTTTATACAAACCCCAGTGCCATCTCTCCTCAATTAAAATGAAACTCGTCAGCTTTGCATAGCCACTGCTACTAGATAGCAGTGGCTTGTAAACAACTCCTACCACCCAGAGGGAGGATGTATGCCAGTTTCAGTGCCTGTATATATTTAACATTTATCAATAATGCACCCCCCCTTTCCATATTGCATAAAGGCTGCACTATTTATGTTTATAATAGCTTTTCCTCTTTAAACCCACATATGCATGATTAATAAGGGCTCTGATTAGGGGAAGCCGATGGAGAATAGTATCCTGGTTACTGATCCTAATAATACTTCAGCAAATACAGAAAACCAAACGATGTCAATAAGCACAGCTGAGGCACCACGACTGCCACCCACGAGCCCAAGGGTCACCAACCTGCGGCTCCAGAGCCACGCACGGCTCTCTAAGGACTGCAGTGCGGCTCTTGAGATTCAAAAACAATGGATATTTGTTATTTTGTTTGCAGACCACTAACCATGGAAGTCCAGTTCACCATGGGAGTCTAATTCACCATGGGAGTCCAGTTCACCATGGGAGTCCAGTTCACCATGGGAGTCCAGTTCACCATGGGAGTCCAGTTCACCATGGGAGTCCAGTTCACCATGGGAGTCTAATTCACCATGGAGGTCCAGTTCACCATGGGCAGGGGTCAGCAATCCACAGCTCTGGAGCCGCATGCGGCTCTTTCAGGACTGTTTCGTGACCGTTATTTTTTAAGGATCACAGTCTCGTATTCACGTTGCATTGCAGCTCTAGAAATAAAGGTAATAGTTTTAGCCAATTCAAAATAAATGTCTCTTCTTGTTGTTTTGGTTGCTGACCCCTGCATTAGTCCAACGCTTACCGGAATGCCAGGCCAGGCTTCCATGACTACGAGTGGGCCAGAAAGTCAAAAGTCATCTCCTGCTGCTGCTGCTGCTCAATGAGCAGTGGGCATCGGTGCTTATCCCCCCTGTTTACAGCCCTGAGCCAGTGGTGGAAATTCCATATTTCTATGGCGGAGGTGCGTCTATCCCTCGGACAACCTCTGATGACTTCGACAGCTGTAAGCACCAACAGTGACATATGAACTGACAGTAATGTCTGGACTAACGTTTCGTAGAAGGCTGGGTTAGGAGTCAGGGGTGAGGCAGCTCTAAGCACAACTCCATTCTGTATCTCTACATTTAATATAAATATGCTTTAGTCCATCAGCCATTCGGCTTTCTAGACCGATATTATCATCAAGCAGCATTAGTTTAAGCAAGCAAACTCCAGATCGGTTTACACCTATTGAGTCTCATCGGCGGAAGTCAGGCTTGTAAAAAAAATGCTGCTGAATTATCACATGCTCCTGGCAAGAGCGCTCTGGGTCAACTACGGGACAGACCCCATTTAACTGCACAGACTCAATAACCGTACACAAAACCCATCGTGTGTTGCCGTGGCGCGTCACGTTCTGCTCGGAAAGTGTGGCATGCACCCCCCTCCCCAGCAGGGTACTGCCCCCCCCTCCCCTATCATCAGGTAATGACTCTGCACACCCCTTCACTCGCCACTGGGTGCTTAGCACCGTACAGGAGGAGCCGGTGACGATTTACGACAATGGCAATACTGACGACGAAGGCGACAAAGGTGGCGTTGTCAGGGTGCTCACCGCGTGGGTGCTGCGTCTCGTCCACATACGTCGTCGTGGTTTTCTCAGCATCATCGTCGGCCCTGTGATGGGGGGGGGCAAGGCAGCAGAGGAGACGCATCTCATTCACCGGTGTGGACAAGCTGTTAACAATTCTCACGACAACCGAATTTAGCAGAAAGATTCGAGACGTTTCACTTGGGACTGAGCTGACCATCTTCAGGATATGATCCAGGAAGTCACAATACAGTCCAGGAGTCCAAATATTGTCCTGCAAAACCCTACATTTTAGCTTTTGCTTTTTCTTAATGCTTTTTATCTCATAAAGCACTGCGTCAAAAACCTTTTCAGAAGGGTCCATATGTAAAAATACTCACAAAAGGAATCGGTAAAATATCTCTGCTGATGCAGACAGCATGGCCTACTGCTGATGCTGTCTGCATCAGCAGTAGGCCATGCTTTCCCACCTGATGACGGACGCTTGTGCTGCACCCGAAACGTCGTGATTTCATTTAGTTTTCATTTATTTTATTTTTTACCTACGTGACTTTACCGAAAAAACCAAAGAGTATGTCAGGCATCTCGTCGAGCAGCACACGGTCACAACCCGAGAGCACATCAGCAACAGCTATGACCGCAGAACTCAGCTGGGGTGGCGCGATGCGGTGTGGCGTGGCACGCCGGTGGGCCCACCTGGTGTAGCGGCGGCCGCCCCGGCAACATTGGCGGCAGATGATGAAGAGGCTGGAGACAATGACGAGGCCACCCCCCACGAACACGGAGAGCAGCACGAGCAGCAGCGCGTAGCCGTTGGGCACGGTCGGCGCAACGGCACTCGGGGCCTGCACGCACGGACGGAATGCGACGCAAGCGCCAGTGACTTCCTGCTCGCACGAGCAACGAGGCATTGGTGCGCTCATGTCCATCGTTTGCAGGCCAGTGGTAGAAATTCCGATGATGGGGGCGAGCTTATACATAGGGCAACCAATGTTGACCTCCCCACAAAGTGGTACTCGTTTTATCGACCCCTGGAAAGATAATGGGCCGGATCAACTACCAGGTAAGGCTCACTGAGCTATGTCGCTCTTTTTCAGAAGCGACCTGGACACAGATGATAGCTAAACAAAGTTGCTTATCACGGGGAAATATATTGCAGCCAAATGCTCTAAAAAGCATGTTTATTCTAAATGTGGAGGTGAAAAAGCATAGGCCCCAGAGGAAAAACCACATGACCACGGGAAGAAAGTGCAAACTCCAAATATACAGGTGTCGGGATCAAACCCATGACCTGTATACCATGCGAGGTAGTTAACATCTCGCCACCGCGGCGCCCCCTGTAAATGTGAATTCGCAAAACCGGCGACACCGCAGGTAATTCCCCACGGCAGGGGCCACCCACCGTTACGTTGTCAGCGTTCGCGTCCATCGGTGAAGAGCATCGCCACCCCCTGGGAGGCGTCACCAAGGCATGTCGGCCGCCCTGCACCAACACGCGCAGGAGGCCCCATGCATCGGTGTCAGACACCGAGCCACGGCGAGACATTGCCCGAGGAAAGGCACCATCCTCACCGCCTCCCTGCCCCCCAGCCCCCCCTCCACTGCCTCCCACTGCCCTGGCCACTGTCAACGCCCCACTAAATATTCGAGTCATGAGCCACCGCCGCTTAGCTACCTCGGGAGGGGTGCCCGGGGCGACCGCCCACCACCCCCCCCTCGGCTCCGCTGCCCTTGCTGCGGCACTTTGTCCACGCGTTCGTCACAACTTTACAAAGACGGTCACCGCATCGCATGGTGCGTTCAGATGCACCTCTGCGGCCGTCTGGAACGCTCCTCCCTTCCGATATTAGGAAGCCACTGGAGCTATGCACTTTTCAATCTAAATTGAAAACTCACTTCTTTGGAACTGCCTTTGTTGTCCTTCCACCTCAACTCTGATTAGCACGCTTTGCTACGTACAATGTGAAAGAAGTTCAACATATGTACAACTTGAAGAGAGCACGACAACCATCTCCTCTATGGCCTCCCCTACATCTTAACTTCCAGCTGTCAGATTTCAAATAAAGTTGATGTGACACGGTGGCCCAGCGGTAGCACATTCGCCGTTCATTGTTGTAGAGGTTCACGGTTCAAACCAAGCGGTCACACTGGTAAAGACGCTACGTGTTGTCCGCTTCACAGCGGACGTGAAAAGATCCCCGCGATGAGCAGGCCAGTGTGTGCTCGTGTCTCGGTCCACACTTGTCAAATTGTAAAAAATTATATCTGCAAATTATTGGCAATTGGGATTACACATTCGCAGCAATTATCGCCCCCCCCCCTCCTGCTGCCATCACCTTGTGCCACACAGGGACAACTGCCACTGTGCGAGGGGAGAGGGGATGCCCATTCAAATGTATGGAAATTAGACGTGAAGCAAGTCGCTTGTTGCGTGTGAAGAGCCTTGGAGATGCCCTGGCACGCAGGTGGCCGGTTCTATCAAAAAACAAATAAAATGTGCTACGCGTGCACGCATGTGTGGGGAGAGTGTGCCGCCTCGTGCGTGGATTAAGAGGGCGACTTGAGAGGATTGTGGAAGTAGCTCTGTGGTCAACCTGCTTCCGCAGGCACACTTCTGCGAGCTCAGAGTGGACTCGTGACGTGACGCAGAGAGCACACATTGGGAAAACAAAATACTCTTTGGTGCCTGTGCTCAGAAACTGTGATGAAAAAGGTGGGTAGGTTGCTCTGCGGGTGTGCAAATCGTGGCTTGGCAAGGCCGAGAGCCCACGGAGGCAGCTCGTGTCTTGCGTATGGAGATAAACTGGGAGGGAAATCAACACACAGGGGTCTGAGGGTGCGTGTAACATTGCGAGACTGGAGTTCGATTCCCGCTCACGGCCAACACCAGCGACAATTATCCGAATCGGTCCTGCGCCTCCCCTAGGTCGACTCGGCCTCAAATGAGTATCTGGTGGTGCTCACCAACAGCACTTTCCCCAAGTCTTTTTAGGCTATATGGGGAATCTTTGTCTTTGTATACAATACAGGTAGACCAACACTTGCATTCATCCTTTCATGTCAAGTCTTTAGCTTATAATGCAGTGGGGTATCCAAGAGGGAGTATTTGGGGGGGGGGGGGGGATTTCCCCACCTGGCCATCACCCCCCCCCCCCCCCACCCACTTGAGAAATTAGAATGTTTTTTTTAACGTGTGGTTAGCTTGGAGGGCAGATCGTGCCCAGCTCGAGAATGTGAAATGCCACTCCCGTCTCCAGACGAGGAATGCAGTCACATGCTGTCCAATGCTCTCGAGCATTGGACAGCCCAGGTTACCATCAACGTCGTCACCACCACCACCAGCGTCCTCGTCACGTGTGGCCTCAAAAGTGAGTGTGCGCATCACGCGATGAGAGCGAGCAGAGGTCACCGGCGCCTTTGCCCAGCCCAGAGGAACACTCGGAGAAGCGTTCCCTAGCGGCCTTCCCTAGCGACCTTCCCTAGCAGCCTTCCCTAGCAGTGTTCCCTAGCGGCCTTCCCTAGCAGTGTTCCCTAGCGGCCTTCCCTAGCGGCCTTCCCTAGCAGCCTTCCCTAGCAGTGTTCCCTAGCGGCCTTCCCTAGTAGGTTTCCTTAGCGGCCTTCCCTAGCGGCCTTCCCTAGCGGCCTTCCCTAGCAGTGTTCCCTAGTAGGTTTCCTTAGCGGCCTTCCCTAGCAGTGTTCCCTAGCGGCCTTCCCTAGTAGGTTTCCCTAGCGGCCCTCCCTAGCGGCCTTCCCTAGCAGTGTTGCCTAGAAGGTTTCCCTGTGAAGAGTTTCCTAGCAGCTAACAGCTGCTCTCAGGCGTCGTGTGCCAGGCACAGGCGACGTGCAAATAACAGGAGGCTCGGACACGCGGCGTCTCGGTGCCCCTCGCCCCACCCATCAACCACCACCACTGGGGCCGAGGCCTCGTCGTGATCATCACCGTGACGCCGGTCGTGCCAAAACAAACTCCTCTCCAGGTGTCAGTAGCAGCAGCGGCGGCTTGGATGTGCACCAAGTACTGCTTAAACCCGCTATGTATTCAACGTTGCTTTTGAAAGGTTTGGTTCTGGTTAACCGTTAGCTAAAAACACCCCCCCTCCTGGTTTAATCCAGTTGAAATTTGTATATTTGCTATTTTATTTCGCTAACATGCAATGTTTATTGATTTGTTGCATTCTTTAATCGCCTGTGTATTATCACAAGTGCCAAAGGCAGCAGGTATAATACACAGATGATAGAGCAATACAACAACAATTGCACAGCATTTATGACATATACTCTGCAAAATGCAATTACTGAAGCCTTCAGTAATTGTATTTCCCCCGAAATATTGCCGAGTAAACACACCGTTCTTCAGAGATGCGTGTCTGTATCTCCACGTCTCACGTCTCTCCTCGTGTCAATCTGAGAAACACAAGGGAGGGACAGAGGAATGGAGACAAAGACACTCACACAGCGATAGAGACACTGACAAGGAGACACGGGACACAGACACGGTCTTAGTAGGTGCTCGCAAACAGCACACGTCCCGATAGTCTGTTACAGGCTGTACGGGGGGGGGGGGGGGGGGGGGTCTTGACGGTTGGATTGCCGTAACAGCCCCATGAGGAGCATTACCAAAGTGAGATGGTTTCTGGAAAGTGGACAATAAAGGCTACTTGACATCGCTTGCAGCAAGAGTAGGCCATTGTGTTTTCGTGTGTCGTAGCTTAAATTCTAAATTTGAGAATTCTTGGCACCAACGTTTTATTCCCAGGCTTGGCTTAAATCAGAGGGCAATAACATCTGAATCGGTCTTCGTGCCTCCAATCCGCACGGTTGGCTACGTACGGTGCGAAAGAAGTTCAACATAGTCTTGCAACCGTCTCTTCAACGACCTGAATTGCCCAGCGAGGTGAAGTATGGTCGAATCAACTGTCACAATCAATAAACCTACAAGGCTCTCAATGGGTTAGCTCCACATTTTTTGCTGAAACTGGTCCATATTTACCCTCCAACGAAGTCCCCGAGATCACCTTCATCTTAGTACCCTTGAGGTCAAGGCTCTGCTCCTGGGGTGATCGGGCTTTTGCCACTGTACAGCTTCCAGACTATGGATCAATACTCTGCGTTTACTAGTAAGGCAATCAGAGTAGTTAGAGCTGTTTAAGTCCGTCTTGAAAACTCTTCTCTTTAAATTGGCCCTTAGCTCCTAGCTCTGGCCATTTAGCCTGGTTGCTTTCCGTACATGGCACATTTGGGATCTACGGATGAAAATGCTCCTTGCAGATTAAAAATTATTAATAACATTGGAAGGCCTTCGTCCAGCAACGGATTGGCAAAGGCGCTGCAGAAGGTCACTCCCGACTGGTGCAATCAGGGCTACTGGAGTTCAGTGGAACATTCAATGTCCTGGTGGGAAGCATTCCAAGTTGACCGGGACAGGTTGCGACGTTGCCGTCCCAGTCAATAATGGAACGACGGGCTAACGTAGGTCCAACATTGGGCCAATGGTTCCAACGGCATGCCCACGTTGGCCCAACGTTGACACGTTCACTGGGTGGGTGTGTGTGGTTGTTTCGAACAAGGCTGTGAATGTCGACGTACCCAGAGCTGTATTGTTGTGTGTGCAGTTATTTCATGTCACCCGTTTATTACGACTATCATTGCTCAATAACGCAATTAAAACAATACTGTCATAACCGTTCTTACAACACAGATAATAAGCGTAAAAATTACAGTCACCGTAATAAATAATTGCAATTAGCAGTTAGCTGGTAAAGTATCAGACATTGATTAATAACAGCAGGCTACTCTTTACTCGTAAAGGGTTCTCTCACCAAATCTCTTGCTCAAAAACTCAAAGACACATTTGTCAATTACACCGTGGCCTGAAAAGAAATAATAGGAAACGTTTCAGGCAATGGCCCCTCTTCATGGCACATCCACAATCAATGTGAAACACTGATATATTTGTGCGATGAAGGAAGGCCATTTCCCAAATCGTTAGCCATCGAGTTTTTCCTTTTCAGCTCGCACACAGCGGTGTTGTTACCGACGACGAGTGTGTCGAGTTTGTTTGCTAATTGTACTTGTGGCACCACTGCCAATGCAGGATCAGCAGCATGGCCAAATAATCATCTACTGTGGAGGCGGCTGCTGCTGCTCGAGATCAACAGGGATTGACATTATCGCTTGACATGAGCCCATCAAAGACCTCTATCTTTATCTTCTCAAACAAAGACGACGCACGTGTGAGAATTGCATCATTTATTTTCCACATTTCCCAGTGTAATGGGGTTTTTCTCCCCCACCCGACCCAATTTCCGAGGCTTCTACAGATTTCGCGTGAGGCGCCGCGTGACGCACACAGCGGTCCGTTCGCGTCGTCCGGAGGGAGGGGGTGGGACAGGGGGAGCCCAGAGCGAGATGCGCAGGCTGGCGCACACTCAAGCACATTTCCAATTCCATCCGTGACCTGATTCACGATCCGCGTCCGGTCCTCCGAACGGGGTGACTCACGCTCGCCGTGTGACGTTGGGAGCCAATTCAGTAGCGACGACGGTCGGCGGCAGTGATGGTGGTGATGATGATGGTGGTGGTGATGCTGCTATTGTTTGTGGCTCGAGTCCCCTACCCCCGCCGTTCCTCCTTGGCCGCTCCATTCACAATTCTTAACACCCCCCCCCCCACGCTCGTGACGGAAGCACGAGATGGACGCAATCGACTGACAAATTACAGGAGCTATTTTGTGTAAAAATTGTAAGGGCTTAGTGTGAAAGCAGCGAGTGAGATGTGGGGCTCTTCGTTTCCCATCACGATGGCGCATGGGGAAGAGCTGCCTTGGCTACACAGAGGGTCTCTGGGGTTCGAGGCCGTTGCATAGTAGCTGCCGACCGTAGGTTCTGGTAGAAGCTATGGTCTGCAGCAGCTTCAGTGCCATCCTATATTATCCACTAATTCCCTTATCCGTGCCCCTTAAGCCATCGATTCTAACTGCCATCCGTGGGGAGTGGCATCACAGTGGTTCACATACTGCGATCTGAACCCAACAACCTGAGTTTGATTCCTGGCGGTAACTGACATCAGTGGCACGGGCGATATCAAAACCGATTCCTACCCCCACCCCACCACAATCTCCCCACACTTTTCACTAATTGCAATGGACCTGCTTGATGAAGTATGGTCAAACAACCTCCATGACCGGCAAGATATTGAGGAGGCCTTCATTCAGCAGTGAATTGAGTCAATTGACAAAGGCGCTTTAATGGTGATGTTTGGTATTATTATTGTACAATGTATCTGCATTCATTCAAGGATGAGCCATCCATCTCGTCTAACAGCATGAAATTCATCCTAATAAAAATCATATTCGTGTTTTATCCATGCCTCTTCACACGGACGAAAGTACGGAGAGCACATTGTGTGGATAATAGGACCTGCCCCTCGTTCCCCACCTGTGTCAATGCTTCCTGTGACAGCAGTGACTACAGCCTGGGCGTACTGCTCTGACCACCGCAGCATGACAGACAGAGAGATATCCAATCAGGCTAATTAAATGATGACAACAGTTACCCCATTGGTGCAAGTGAGCATGCGTTGTTGCACCCACCCCGGCCCCCCGCACGGTTTGCCACCTTGATATTTGGGGCGCCACGGTGGCTAGGAAACTACTTCGCCTGGTTTACAGGAGGTCGTAGGTTCGATCCCGACCCTGACGCCTGTATATTTGGAGTTTGTATGTTCTCTTTCCCCGTGGCTGAGTGGGTTTTTCTCCAGGACCTCTGGTTTTTCCCCTCCACATTTAGCTGCTATAAATTTACACGTGATAAACCACTTCGTTGACCCACAAATTATTGCCTGGTCGCTTCTGAAAAAGAGACATATAGCTTAGTGGGCCTTACCTGTTAAAATAAAAAAACAGTTCAGTTTAGTATCTAGTCCGAGAGCTATTCCTGCTTTTCATCCTGTGAAGGACAGGATTGCATATTTAAGTGCGACACCAAGACCATCCGCCCACACCCGAACAATGGCTAATTTCCTGAGCAATGTTTGTTTTTTGCAATCGAGATCTGCATACGATTCCTCTGCAAGCATTACGGCTCTGCCTCTTACCACTGTGCTGCGTTTCTATCTCGCCTGACAAGGGCGACCCATCGCCCGCTTCTCCTCTTTGCCGCTCGCTCGTGCTCCCATCACTCGTCGCCCCCTCACCGCTTGTTGTTGACGTCTTCGAATCATTTTGCTTGTGCCTTCTCCGCTCATTCTCCTCCCAATGATGTTTCATAGTTCTGCGTAATCATGTTTCATTTGGCAATGTCATCGCTTTTCGTCGCTTACCGCAACAACATCTTCGCCCTCTCGGAGTTCCGGATGACAATTTGCTTTCGGAGCATCGCCCATTACGAAGCGAGTTATTTCATTATTTAAAGTGATGACATCCATTTAATCATTTCGCTTCTCCGGGGATTAGAATCGGCCACTCTCCGACTATGTCCTGACCTAGATTATGTCTCTCGAGTCTTGATTTATTTTATTTATTTTTCTCTCTGTAATTTGCTTGAGCTGTGTTCACGTGTAACTTTCATCGCACCAGCCTGCGCGACTTGCCTCCCCGCCTCAAGTTTGCCAGGTGATGCGACAACAATCTGTGCAATGTCGCCGAGAATGAAGTCCCATTTCATTTATAATTTCCCAAAACGCCCCCCCCCCCCCCCCCCCACCTTCATTCACGTTTTCTGGACCTTTGTTGTTTGAAGATGGTGCTCGTTGTACGTGTGTGTGTTGAACTTCTTTCACACCATACGTAGCTAACCATGATAATCAGAGGACTGCCGCCTCGCTCACCTCGCTCTTCTACACGAAACCTGCCACTTGTTCTCACCCCGGCACAGTTTGCCTCCCAAATTTGAAGTGGCATCGCCATTTGTTAAGGTTATGTGCCCGGCATTTGTACAGTCTGGTTTTATACTTTTACAACACTTCAACAATTCTAAACGTTGCAGAAATGTGCGAGCCATGACACCATGACACCAGCACACAAATCTCCACCACTCTTCTTGTGAATTATGTCATGGGGTTCACCTGAATGTCCACCATACAGCAGCAGCAGCCAACGGTGCTTTGGTGAATTCACAACAGGCATTTCTGGTCAGCCGTGGTGGCAACAGACCTGCTGGCTTACCACGATCCGGCCCGGTTGGTTTGGGGGCGCTTACCGCGAAGCCACAACGATCTCCAGCCTTCCGCGCACTGCAGCACGGGGTGTGTGCAGTGGCGCAGTGGTTAGCGGTAGCGCAGCGGTTAGCAGTAGTGCAGCGGTTAGCGCCCTGCCCTACGAATCCGGCGGCCCGAATTCGATTCTCGCTCACGGCCACCAACACCAGTGGCGATTATCTAAACCGGTCCTGGGCCTCCCCCAGGTC